AGTGGATTAAGCTAAGAAAAGAACTTACGTTGTAATGCTAACATTTGAGGAAGGAATCACTAAAACCCGACTTGGTGCAATAAGCACTGATGTATCACATGTCACAACTCGAAGCCCCAGCAGGAACTTTCCTGGGGTAGCTCCGCCTGCTCCCCAAATGCAAATTATCTAAGGAAAGAGGATAATTTAAAAATAACTTACTAGCTCAGCTATACCAATCTGAAAGGTAAGTTTTCCTGCCATATTATTCATGTTTTAAAATTTTCAAGTTGAAAGAATTTTACAGAATACTCAGGTTACTGAATGCATTTCTGCAAGTCTCTAACACCACCAAATGTCTACTGTAATATTTCTTGATGATCCCATTTTTTAGCAAGTTGTTTCTATGGAAAAATACATTTCAAGTTCCACAACCAATTTACAAGTATATTTTTGGACCACAAGAATGAAATATATTACAAAGAAATTATAACATTGTCTCCACTCAGAAAGTTTTTTTTTTAACTTCAAAAATGTTAATTAAAGAAAATTTGGGGGGGAAAACATAGAAAAACAGAGACATTTGACAAATACATGAAAAATGATACATTTTTGTTACTTTTTTGGCAGGCTGATAATCTAAAATTAGATAATTAAATATTAATATTTGCTGAAGTTAGTAGCTTACCTCATAGAAACAAACTAATAATCTGTATATAAGAGCCACAACCATCATTTTTTGCAAGTCTTCCATTGATGTGTCTTCATCTATTTCTTCTATTATATAATGCATAGCAAACTTAGAGATATCCCTACACAAAATAATAATTTTGGGTTATAAGAATTAGTTATCAGAGCAGTTGCATTAATTTTTTTCCATTAGTGTAAGTCATAACTTTAATTGAAATTCTAAACTAATCTTTAGGTTTCCAACCATCTAGTTTTCACAAAACATTCACCAGTTTATGCAACAAATAAGCAGGCACTTTACTAGAGCCCTGGAGATATAATGGTGAGCGAATTCAACATCGTCTCTACTTTCATGGAGATTCTAACCAATCAGGGAAAGCAGAACAATAAGTAATAATAAAGTGGGATATGAAATAGGAGACTATAGAGTATGTGACAGGAAACCATAATGTGCTACAGAAACACACACCAGGTACATTTAACTTGTTAAGGCTTCCCAGAAATTATATTTAAGCTGAGATTTGAAGGATGAAGTTAGCCAGACCAGTAAGGAACAAGTCAGAGATGGGGACTAACGAGAGAAAGCCTTGGAGCAAGAGTGTGATGGAAGCTGTTGTAAGCAGTTTGGTATGGCTCAAATATTAAGTATGACAGGTGATCATGATTAAGAAGGGCATCTGTTAAACCTCATGAAAACAAGACTATCCTGATAGCAATGAGAAACCACTGAAGGGTTTTAAGGCAGAAGAGCAGAATCAATTTATGATCTCTTTAGTTTTGTATCAGAAACTTGGATTGAGATAAAACAGGAGACTGAGATATCTGAAGTTTTGCTATAATCCAGGCAAGAGATGACAGTAACTGGACTAGGGAGAAGCAATGATGATGAAAAATGGTCTGACAGTGAAGAGGAAATGATCTGGGCTGAAGGCTATTCAGCATATTCAACAGATAGAAGGTACTTGATTGGAAATGTAGGGGCAGGAAAGGGAGGGATCACAGGAACAAACATTCAGGATCCTGGCAAGGGCCCTGAAATTTGACTACATGGGTTTGTATCTTGACTCTGTCACTTACTACCTTTGTAACTTTGTAAATTCTGGGCTTGTAAATCCAAATACCAATCTCTATAACGTGGAGGTATTAATCTCTACAGCTCATAGTGTCATAATGGTAACATTAAATAAGAACCCACATAAAGAGGTGAGTTCAATGCCTAGCATGTAGAAAGTACTTAGCAAGTGGTAATTGCTATTCTGATTACTAATCTGAAAGGATTATTTACATAAATGGATCACTTTGCAGTTCATTTGAGAATTCCCTGATAATATAAGTAATCCCATTTGGAAATGCCATCTAGGTGATTATAATAGTTCATCTTTACCAAAAGCTCTTTATTCCTAGTAAGAGGGAAATGAATTCCTGGCTTAAGAAAATAGTTAAATAAAATCAAACTAGGTTTGGAGGCTCCTTTTACCTACTTTTAGTAGGTGAGATTCCCACAGATCTTGCAAAATTTATTGAGTGTTTTTCTCTCTCTTGAAGTTATTTCTTAAACCCAACAAGGAAAAAAAGAAAACTGACAAAGCTCCTATAAAGAAGTCATGAGACTGGTCATCAATTATCCATATGGTCACTTGCAGGCATGAAGAAAACTTAATGAAACAAGATCTCTAGACAGTACACATTAAAACCTTTCTGCAAATGGCCTTATTCACTTACTTTATTCCACTGAGATGCATAATGCTTAAAACAATGGTAGCTTTTATAAAAAAGAGAATAAAGAAATCCACCATCTCTGCCATAAATCTGTGGGCCAAGGATGGAATAACATACTCTCTGCCTGTAAAAAAAAAAAAAAATGTTAGTAAAACTAATCACTTCACATAGGCCTGGGAACCCAAGCTAAGTAAATAAATGGAATGAATGTCAAGTCAAGGTACAAGGTGCTAATAATAAGAAAAAAAATTACAATCTTGCAACAATCACTGGCATTGACTCCACCAACAGTACATGTTATTAAAATATACTACTACACTATTTACAGAGTTTAAAGTTTGCTTTCACCTCCTTAATGTTTAAAAAATGATTTCACAGATAACTTGAAGATACTCGATGCATTTCACTAGGTACTCAAATGAGAATGCAGGGGATCATAAAAGCCTGTGACAGAATTAAATGTTTTTTAGTAAAACTCAAGGTTAAGTATAGACAATCAGTACCTCGTTCCTCACTTTACCTCCTATTTAGTTTGTCTTGCTTTCTATTAAATCTGCCGTCCTAAATTCTGAATGGGATCAAATTCAGAAACAACTAATTCTTGTCCCACACATCTGTGGCTGAATAAAGTAAAAAAAAAAAAAACTAATAAAAAGTGTAATGCAAAATATTCTAATTCCCATACAGAAGTAAACAGACAATATACAAGATCATTCAGCCAGGGTCCAGTCAAAAGTTCACAACTCCATTTGTATTCATGTAAATCTTTTATGTCCATCAGATTCAGTGTCCCTAATGTATGGGTAATATACAATTACATTAATCATATATCTTACAATATGTAGATAATATATAATAAATCCACGTCTGGATTATTTCCAGCATTACCAACCACCCTACCCCCACCCCACCATGGAGGTTTGCTATTTGAGAATTAAGCTTTGGATCTCATTCTCCAGAGCGTGGAAATCCTGAGGATGGCCTGAACAGCAGAGATTTCTTTACATGCAGAAATGACTAGTCTGTGGAGTAGGGAATCAATTCGGAACGCCAGGTCTAAAGGAAGAAGAAACTATAGCCTTTCTACATATACTTCTGAGGCCTGGGCAAACCACAGCTGAAGCACGCGGAGACACACCAGTCGGAGCAGCAGCAGTTACACGCGTAAAAAGCGCGCCTGTTCTACCCCCCACCCCGTCTTCCACCCTCTCCGGTAGTTCCCTGAAGACCCTTCTGCTCCGCCCAACTTCCCGATCGTGCTTCTCACCTGCCTGGCGCCCGTTCTCGCTCGGGGCTCGCGAAGGGGCGGCGGATCCCACTCGCGTCACTGGGGTTGCCTGGACGGATCCCTGCACTTGAGGAGCCCGGGGTCCCAGGCCCGTGACTGGAGCAGGGGTAGTGATGCCCGGAGCCGCTCCCGGGTCAGGTCCGGCGGCCGCGGCGCTCAGGAAGTAGAAGGGGTTGTAATAGCCCAGCTGGAGGGGCGCTGGCGCCGCGGCCTGGGGGGCAGCGGTGCCGCCGCCTGAGGGGTAACTGAGCGGGGATGGCTGGGGGCTACAGTAGGCTGGGAAGGCGGCCAGGCCGCTGTGCCAGGTGAGGTAGCCGCAGTAAGACTGCCACAGCCACTCGTGCACCTGCCGGGAGTACTCGCGGGCGCTCAGCCGCGCGGGCTTCTCACGCGGCGCCGCGGCCTCCGGCGCCTCGCAGCCCGCCGGCTCCTGCAGCTCCGCACCGGAGCCGGACGCCGCGTCCCCGGGCTTCCCAGGCTCGAGCTGTGGCTCCGACTCCTCGGCGGCGGCCGCGGTGGGCGCGAGGCCCGCGGCTGGGGGCCGGCCCGGGGACTGGGGTTCGGCCTGCGGCTCGTTCCAGGAATGCGGGGCGGCGGCGGCAGGAGGGCCTGTCAGAGAATGGACCGGGTCTTGGTCCCCTCTGCCGTCGCCCTGCCCGGGAGGGCGGCCTCGGGCCTCCTCCGGCCCCTCTGCCATAGTCACCGCAGCACCGCTCTGTCTTGTCACTGCTCCGTCTCCCTCCCCCACTGGCTCCTCCCCAACGGCCCCCGTCGCCACCACAGCAGCCACAGGCGTCAACAATCCACCACCGGAAGCGGAAGCCCCGCCCCGCAGGGCGGGGATAGGCGAGGCGGGGCGGGGCGGAGCGGAGTGGGGCGGGGAGGGAAGTGGGGCTGCAGGCCCAGGCGTAGGCTTGGGAGACCACCGGTCAGGTTGCTCCGAGGTCTTGGTTATGTGTCGTTGGGCCCAGACCGTCACGGTCTACTCAATCCTCACCTCTTAAGGTTTTAATGCAGTTTAAGGCTGGAGGCTTCTCCAGATAATCCCATGGGATGTGGACTCAGGCTGTGCCGGGAGAAATGGCTAATGGTGGAAGAGGATTTCCTAGAAAGGTCCCAGGGGTCAGCGCCACCTTTTCTATTACCGAGCCGCGATTGTTTTGCTCTCTGGGCACAGGGCTTGTTGCTTATTTCCGCTTGCATTCATTACAATTAACCTCAGCCATTTGTACTCAAGAAGATGATACAAGACATATCCCCTTAAGAGTTTATGAAATTAATAACCAAACTAAACAGGGACATAAGAGAGTGTGGCTCAGCTGCAGAGATTTTCATTGTAAGAGAAGGGAAGAGGGATTATGCTGATTTACGAGCTAGACTGTGACCTTATCTTAGAACTAACCTGTGTCCATAAAATCTTTCCACTGCTATAGACACTATCCTACTACTACAGCAAAACTGCCTTTCCTCAAACACAGTGTCTCAACCTTTGGTGCCTTTTATTTTGTGTTAAGACAAGTCTCGTTCATATCCCAGAGCTTTGGAGCCTTCTCTGAGTACCCCAGCCCAGGCATGATTTCCCCTTCTGAACTAAATATATATGGCACCTTATATATTTATATTTTAATATACTTTCCTATGTCCTTAAGTTGATTAAGTGACAGGAATGTGTATCCCCAGTACCATACAGAAGACCTACAGGGGCCACAAGTACTGTGTGTATACTTGTTAATAAGGATGCAATAAGGTTGCATCCTTATTGACTTTGACCTGGGAAATGTGAAAGGTGTAACTTTAGCCCTTAAAAAAACTAATGATTTGGTTAAAGGAAAAGACTTTGATGAAACACTTGAAGACCTATTTAAGACATAATATAAGTATAATATAAATTCAAAATAAGGGGAAGATCATGGTGGCCAATAGCTAGAAAGGTTACCCTTATAAATTTGGTTTTAAAATCAACTGGGAGGAAGTTGTAATGTTTAAACAAGTATTCCAAGTTTGGATGGCGGAGGCTGGAGAAGCAAGGAAAAATAAATGTAGATGGCATGGAACGAGTGTGAAATACTGTGTTTATTGGAGACATGGACTTTGTTTTGAATACCACTTGACTATATTGCATCTGGCACAGTGCCACCCACATAGTAGACGTTTAGATTAATCAGGACTCTTGGTTGCAACTGTCAGAAATCGAATTGCAACTGATTTAAGGGAGAAAAAAGTAAGTGAATTTATTGCATAACTAAAAAGTGCAGGACTAGTTTAGGTTTCAAGGATATCTGTTTACAGATAATCAAATGATAGCCTCAGGGATCACGTCTCTTTCTCTGACCTTGCCTTTAAGAAAAGTAAGAGTGTTTCTGTTTCAGTGATTAAAAAAAAAACCTAATTCTAACTGGCTTAAGGAAAAAAAAATTTTTTGCCTTATGTAACCAAATTCAGAGGTTCTACCGAATATAAGAAGGTTCAACAATAGGCATCTAATAGGCATTTCAAAAGAGAGAAGAGAGGCAAAATTCAGAGAAATAATGGCCAATAATTATTTTCTAGACTTGAAGAAAGATGACTCTTTAGATTGAAGAAGCACATCAAGTCTTGAGAAAATAACATACATTATGATGAATGTAAACAAAGAGAAAAATGTAGTGATCTTAATAGTAGCTGTTAAAACATGACCTACCTACAAAACAATGACATTTAGACTGGAAGCCAAATTTGCAAAAATAAAAATATATGCTGAAGATATTAGAATATATATAGTATTAAGGGGAAACTATTGACAACCTAGAAAATTATAATCCAGTAAATCATCATTCAAGAATGAGGATGTGGTATAATGCACCACTGCCAATCCAAACAACACACTGATCAACCTTAGACCCTTTCCATCACACTCAGCTAAGGATTGAAGTCTCAGGAATATAGAGAGTATCCATGAGTCAAAAATATAAATGGATTCTGGAAAGATGGCAGTACATGAATTTTGAATCTCCATGAATCCCCACATAAAAACAGAGTAGCTAGAGAAACCAAAAATGCATGGAACAACATTTACAACAAAAGTAGATGACAGATAACTCTACAAACGCCAAATACAAGAGGGTGGGATCAAGCCACAGATGCAAAACTTGTACAGTGCCAGTGTTGAAAAAATCATATCAAAACTGTAAAGGTATTGATAAAATAATATAAGACCTGAAGCAGAAAATTCAGAATAAGAAAAACTCAGAAACAAAGTCACAGAACTTGGGAAAGAATTAGAAATAAATGTGATTTCAGAAAAGAATGCTGAACAAGAAGAAACAATAGTAAACAAACACAATAGATAGTGCCCAAGGAGAACTAGAATTTGAAAATGAGATTTTCTTAAGTTAAAAAGAAATACAGAGACATAGAAATGACTTGTGACAAATGATAAATATTGAAAGTGGGCAAAGAAGATCCAACATATGGATAAAGAGTCTCTGATCTCTGATAAAGAAAATCAATTCAGCTAACAGAACAAATATAATACATTATAATCAAGAGAACATTTCCTGAAATAGAAAAAGAAATATATATACACATATATATATATATTTCATATGTATGTTCATATATATATGAAACCCCATATTGAAAGAGCATACTGTATATCTGAAAATATTGAAAATGAACAACAAGATGTATTCTAGTAAAATTACTAGACTTTACATTTTGAAAAGTGGTGATTTAGGCAAAAAAAAGTAATTTATGAGAGAAAGAATATTGGATTATCATAAGACTTCAGCATTAACACTTCATAGGAGAAGAAAATGGTGAAACATTTAAAATATTCAAAGAAAGAAAATGAGAACCAAGGACATTGTATACAGCAAAACTGACTGAAGTATAAAAACATAAACTAATTTGTTATCAAAATGAAAGAACTCAGTGTTATTCACTTGAGTTTCTCTTGTGTAATCTACTAGGAGAATGAAGCTCAGTGACTAAAATGACTGACAGACAATGACAGAAGGACAGCTGGTGAACATTAAATATGTAATTACATCTAGAACAAAGCTAAATGAAGGTTTGTTTCAGTCAGGGTCCAGTTAAGAGAGAAAAATCACAGTAGTTTGAACAGAGAACATTTACTGTAAAGACTTGTTCATGGAATTGGAGTAAAGGATGGTTAGCTAGCAAGAGGCAAAGAGAACTCCTACCACAAATAAATAGTAGATATAGGGAGAAGCCATCACTTCTGGGACTGAAATAAAGTGGACAAGGGCGAGCACCCCCACCTGCATCCAGCCCCTCATTTCTGGAAAGGTCATGGACTGTGGCTCACTGGTGGGCAAAGAAGTTCACTGAGATGTGGCCTCAGTGAAGAAATCTCTTTGGAGTGCTGGGAGAAACTATCCACATGGAGGTACCTTTATTTCAGAATTCACTGCAAAGTGCCCAGAAAATCCACTTACAGGAAGGTGCTTTGCCAGTAGCACACTATGAAACCATCCAAGAAACTGTACCGGGGGAAGCTGCCATGGGAAATTGCTGCTTGTTGCTGGCCACTGGGCACTGCTGAAAGGAGCCATGCAGCCTGCAGGAGCCCAAGGAGATAAGTCATGAGAATCAGAAAGAGAAGCCACTTCCTACTCCAATGGCACCCCCCCACCCCAGTGCCTTCTGTTAACAAAGCCTAATGTCAAACTGGCTGGGGCTGGAGTATTTACAGAGTTCGGTTTCATTATTGCAGAGCAAGTATAGATTTAGATCTATAAATATATATATATACTTTTAAAGCATCATAAAAAAGGATGGGACTCTGGAGTGCATCTGTATTCTTATTTTTATGTATAAGAGTACTAAATAACTTGCGGATTGTATGCGGAGATCTTTCACAAAAAGTACGCTTGTCATCATAGTTATGAGATTAATTTTAACTTCTTATTGGCATGGATGTGTTTTGTGGGTAAAATGTGAAATTTTTAAGAGGATGAACTCTTTCTTGCTATTTCAAATATCCTGGGTCTTTGATTAAGCAATAATGCCCCGTATGGGCAGGAAATACCATATCTCTCTTACAGTAATAGGGGGTTGTCGGACAACTGGGCGATTCTCGTTCTGTTATACCAAAGATTGAGAATAGGCATGAAATAATTACACAGCTTAGAGGGCAGCACATCTAAAAATGTGTTGTGCATTTATATACCACGGATGCCTGATCCCCACCCCAGAGGCTTCTAATGTAACTAGACGGGGGAATGGGCGTGTCATTCATAATTATTAAAATGTACCCAGGCAAATCAACTATGTTTACAGACTTACAATCATCATAATAATTGATCTTACACATAGGATCAACCGGGACTAACCACAGGGCTGGTAACCCGGCTCCCCATTTATACTAAGTGTAGGAAAGAAAAGTCTCTCCACATATCTAGTCACTGTTTCATTTCCATAATCAAGTTCTTGGGGTAGACTATGAGTAAAGTACCTGAGTCTAGCAGTAAAAAAGTGAAATAACAAAGAACTAAAATACTAGGACAATATAGGTTTATCATGGAGATTGGTGGGTATATAGGAATAGGACAAAGCGTTGACTAAAAAAATCGAACAGTCATTTCTTCGGTAAGTGAGAGGGGTGTGAGTTTGTGAGGGATTAAAAAAACAGGTATTTGTCGTGGGAGTAGAATTTCTAGAGTATGTATTATGAGATCACAAAGAGGAGATTCATATTAAACTGAGAAATGAAGCATCAGAAACAGAGTTTTACATACCCAAGCCTAAACTTATAGTGTTAGATGGCCGCAAGAGGGATAAATT